ATGTAATCCATTATTCATGATTTTACGTATTGTAAATAGCATACATCGTATGTCGCAACCCTTGGATATATCAAATCTTCCCACTGACAATTCATTTGTTTGGAATGCCTAATACAATATATGACAACCGCCTATATTCAAACAGCAGTCTTCTGCGCATCCTGAATTTGTATCCCTGGAGTGGATGTTATTTTGGAAGTGAGCTAACTGATTCTTTAGCTATAAACTGTGCTTTTACCGAATTCATGTGTCAAAAGTTGCATTAAAAATAACATAGTATGATAAAAATTACTAGATAATACCAGGTAGATAATACCATTTTTGTCAATATAATAAGTTTTTGAAGTTTTAACGCCTGTTGTGTATATTTACAGATTTCTATGGGACATTTGAACCGCTAGTCGTTAATAAATAAGCCAAGCGTAAAGTGACATTTTAAATGGAAAAATGTCATTTTAAGCTTGGTTTATTGCTTATTGACTAGCAATGCACTTAGACCTGACCTGTTAAATTTTTGTTATAAATTGTGCTAGTTAAATTATTGGCGCATCATTGTCAGAAAATGTATTTACAGGGTAAGTAACTAATAAAATCTTGGTAATGTGATACTTTTCTTTAATTCCTCTACTGAAGCCATCATTAACATGCCATAGTGAATAAAATTGTACTACCGAACCGTCATAAAAGTGGCTACGATGTAAATAAACTTAAGTATCTTAAACAACCGCCAATCAACTGACGTTTGGTCTGGCAAATCTCTTTTAGATTTTCTTGTAATCAAATTAAAGAAAAAATGCAAAGAGCGCAATACATTTTACTTAAAGCGTTTTTAATTTTGATTAATGTTCATTTAATGAATGATATGACTGGATGAATGATATATGGGTTTCTAATGCACTTCAGTGGAGTGCCTCCGCTTTTTATTTTTAAGATATTTAAATTACAATAATTTTTTATAATAAATATATTGGGTGACTGAAAATGTTTTAGTTTTTCACGTTGGCAACGGAATAAGTGGTAGCTGTTAAAATCTATTGTTTGTCGTTATTTCAAATTAAATAACACAGATAAATACTGTCTTACACCTAACACTAGGGTACATTTTATATATTTATTTTAGTAGTACCAATATAGTTTCTGTTTAAATACAACCATGTGCTTTATTCAAACAATTTCTAAAACAAGCCGGCCTGGTGCGTATCAAACATTTTACGAATTAATCAGTCTTCTAAGAAAACGTAAATTCTAGAAGTGACTGAAACAGACCTAAGAAAAAATAGTACTATCTTTTATCTTTCTTTTGGCTCAATGTTTTTCATTCACACGCATTGCAAGTAAAAAATAATTTCCAATGCTTTCATTTTCAAAGTCAATTCCACTAACTCTACGTCTAATTAATAAAATTTAAAATCGAGCCGTTCAACGCCAAGCTGGTAAACGAGGTTATAAATATATGCACCGCAAGATCCAGGCATGCATTTACTTGTCTCGACTCTCACCTAGATATATCACGCACCCTTTGTTTCATATTGAGCACATATTGTCTTAATTTACAAAAGCAAGGATTTTTTGCATTTAGTTCTAACACAGTCGAATCTTCTCTTATTAAAACGAAAAATAAAATTTTAAAAGTTAGTGATATAATTAAAACCGATCATATACTAATCACAAGTGTTCAGAATATAGAGTTAATAAATATTTTTATTGTTTTGGAATCAGCACTTTCAATCTCCACTGTCCTTTTAGAGGCAAAGAAAAACACTCATACTGGGTTAGTCCTGTAAGAATTTGAATAGGTTCGTCCTTTATGACAACTATATAGTTAAAAAAAATACTTAACCAATTTACCCAACCTATGCGGCCTGGAGCCATCGTGAGTTACTGTGTATATCTCCAAGCCGCCCAGGTTAGGTAAATTGGTTAAGATTTTTTAATTTTTAATTTTAATTAGAATACTGGCATATTTTATCACGCACTTTTATGTCCTGCGCTATTTTGTCTTGCGTTATTTTGAGCTGCGCCATTTTATCCAGTTTTGTCATGAAGTTAAGTAAATTTGCTTAAAATTTAGATTTCTTATTTGTTGTTATAATTACTATACATTACACATGCTAAGTGTTTGCAGCTATTCTTTATAATTAAGAATATTTATAAAGATGAATTAAATGAATTTAGCTCAAAGCCGAATATCACATAAAATACAACGACCGTTTCCCCTTCAGAAAAACAACTACTCCTTTGGATAATACCACAACAGGCATTGAATTACATCCGAAGGAAAAACAGCAGAGATAGAAATTAATTTTCAACACTCTCTACTTTGATTTTGCTCACCAAGAAGAACATCATTCTTGGACCGGTTTCGTCCTTATTAGGACTCCTCAGCAAGAAATAGATAGGTTCTCAATTCCAGTCTCTAATGGAATTAACAAATGCTACACATTTCACTAGTATACCATAAAGTTGGTTACGGAGAGAATAAAATTCAAGCAGTGAAAATGGTGTCGCCATCTGTTCTTAGTAAGCAAAATCAAAATGCGCTAGGTACCCAGTTTGAAAACTAGGTTTTCTGAAGGGGAAACGGTCGTTGTATTTTATGTGATATTCGGCTTTGAGCTAAATTCATTTATTTCATTTTGCTACTATTACATTTGAGTTTTGATATTTTATATCGTTTATTTATAAAGATATTTTGTTTTGAAATCAAAAAATCTGATGTGTCCAACACATGACTTTCCTATCTAGTTATTACAGGCTTTTTCCGTTTATTGTGTACAACCTATTGCAGCATCTCTATAAATGTTTAGAGGATAAACTAAATATATACATTGTCCACATGCATCTACCGCGAAACATTTTTCTATAGATATTCATTGAAAATGAAAATACTGAAAAATTTAAATTTAGCACTTTTCCTACAATTTTTCCATTACGATCCATTTAAAAAAAATCATGTATGAACAAATATTATAGAGATCGATATCGCAAACAACTTTTATTTCAACAATTTTCATAAAAATCAGAATTTTGCACATTTTGTCAAATTTCTCGAATACGGACCATTTCAGGAAATTTTTACATAAAACAAATATTATAGATAATAATATTAGAAGTAACTTTTATTTGAACAATTTTTTTCTCCAAACATAAATAACAGATATATTCCATAAAATATAAAAACGGCCTCCCATACAGTACCCCCCCAGATGTTCCGACTTCCCCCAGATGTTCCGACTTTGTCCAAAATCTAATCATTTCACGTCAGGCCGAAATAAAACTTAAGTTTAAAATGTATTGATTTTTTCTTTATCCGTTTTTGAGTTTTCTTCAAATTTCGAAATTTACACATTTTCTCAAATATCTCGAATACGGTCCATTTTAGAGAAATTATCTATGGGACAAAAATTATAGAGAATTATATTACAAACAACTTTTGTTTGAACAATTTTTATAAAAAAATAATTTTTTTTACATTTTGTCAAATTTCTCGAATACGGACCATTTTAGGAAAATTTTGTATAGAACAAAAATTATAGACAATTATATTAGAAGTAACTTTTATTTGAAGAATTTTCTTCTCCAAACGTAAATAACAGATATATTCCATAAAATATAAAAAAGGCCACCTATAAAGTACCCCCCCAGATGTTCCGACTCTGCCCAAAATCTAATCAGCTCATTAGACCCTGGAATAAAGCTTAAGTTTGAAATTTGGTGTTTTTCCGTGTATCGGTTCATGAGTTATGCGTTATACAGACACACACACACACACAGACACACACACACACACAGACACACACACACACAGACATCATCGCGAAAATAGTCAAAACGGATTCAGGGGACCTCAAAACGTAAAAATCCGTCGAAAACTCGAGGTCGAAAAAAATCATGATTCCTATACTTTCCTTATATCTGTATACAGATAGGAAAGTAAAATTATAGTTAAACTAGTGTAATAAAATGCCATTAAACTTTTTAATTGCGAGGGGTAAACCGCAGGCTAAAATTTGTACTCCTATTTCTTTTTTACTAATCAATTCCCGCCACCCTTTAAAGTTTCTCAATGCCTCTGCAATTCCTGGGAAATTCCCTTAATTCCACGGAAATTTCACGACAATTCCCAGAATTCTTTGTCAATTCACAGAATTTCTATAAATTCTCAGAATTCTCAGGCAAATTGCACTCAATTTCTTAAATTTCTTTTTACCTGTAAATTTATTGCAATTCCATACTCTAGTACTAGTACACTGCGGTTTACCTCGCTTAATTGTGACGTCATTAACGTCTATTTAATTAGAATGACATCTGAGACTTTTTTAAGCACATAATGAATATTTAGAAATTGTTGATATTAAAATATTTTTCAAAACCGAAATGTAAATTAAGTTACATTTGGAGAAGAAGTTGTACTTCAAAACAATTGACTGTAATTTTTAATTTTTATTTTTCTAAATAAAAGTGTGTGTGAAAATCTACCACGTTTGGTTTTTCTCATTTTAATAATATGGATTTTCATCAAGTAAAAGCCGAAACAATCAAGAAAGTATTTTCCTCTTTTAATAATAATTTTTGTATTCCGTTAATATCAGAACGCCTCTGGTAATTTTAGGAGGCATTAAACTAATCAATTGCCAAATTAGTTAAAATTTAATTAACAAATAAACGAAAATTACATTAAAATTATTACTGTAATTCTCTGTGCTAATCATTATCATTGTCTTCGACAGATGTTGTCATCTCTCTTTACTTAATTTTCTTAAGTATTCGCAAACAATCAAGAAGTCTTTGAATTTAGTAAGCTCGTAATTGGTATTGGTAATTAGCTGATAATAAACTATAACAGTGTTCAAAGCGCCTCTCTATTTTGCGTTACATGTACTCCATTTTCTATGATTTGATAAATTAATGGCTTTATTCTTAAATTATATAATATTTGCAATAATTGTTGTACTCTGTTAAGACATTACCGTTAGTATCTACATGTACTTTTGTTTCAGGACGATGAACCACCCGAAATAACATACTGTGTGGTAGAAAATACTGGAACACTTACCCTTCAGGCAATAACTCCAACACAACCAATGCCGTCACAGGAAGAATTAGATGTAAAATTTGCAGAACTTGTGGTAAGTTATCGTATTATTTCTACTTTTTTTTCACAAAATTAACGGCAAATAAGTGCAGATGGATTACGAACTTCAAAGTGATATTTTAAATAATATGTAATGCGGCCATTGCACTAAAAAACAAAATCATTAATATGTTTTGGATTAAAAAGTAGATTATTTTACGTGTCCGTAACAACCAATAAATGTCATCTGCTTTTTGAGAGTTTGACTAAAAATATTATAATATTCATTGGATACAAAACACACATTTTAGTGCAAATAAACGCCACACCCTACATCCAATGGAAACTTTGGGGGCAGGGAAGAAGACAAGTAGTAGAAGTATAAAAAGTTGGTAGGGTAGGTAGGTTTTGCCAACTGTGTTGAGCTTTAGGGGGTTGTTCCCCACCACCCCCTCCCTTTGGCCCGGCACTGCCTATTTTAATTAAAATACAACGTTTACAAATTTATAGTCTTCAAACATCCAATATTTAAAGATCTCTTCTTAAAATATATTTAGAAAGTTATATTATTGATTCTATTTTGATTTGGTTAAACAATGATCTTTCATAGTTCATTAAATTTTATGGTAGGTACCATGGGGTTTAATAAGCCGAACGAATTTACCATTAAACGGTATATGTATATTTTTTGTGAAAAGCTTGTACACCGGCACGACCAAATCATTTGGTTTTTAAAGAAAATATGTCAAGGTTAAATTAAAAGTTCACTAATAGTTATTGAACAATTGCATGGTTTGTATAAGATTTAAAGAATTAGAAAACGCGAAATCAGTTGGTTTGCACTGAATTAAAATTTATTGTGAATCAACTAACTCATCCAAACTTACTATTATTGAATTTTACTTTCTGAAACAAGACGCCAAAGAAGTTTTTTTATTGTCTGGAATAATTTGGGGTTTTGATAATTTTAATTATTTTAATGATTTTTTTTGTGAAAAAACACTCCATAAGGGGCGTTTATTAATATTACAATCTGATCAAGAGTTGATTAATGAGTAATTTTGTTATAACCTAACTTTGTTATTAACACAATCACTTGGCTAACTCAAAAGGTTTCACTCTCTTGAGTCTTCTTGTCAGGTTCGTGTTGTCACGAAGCTGTATCGCTTCAACGTTCACATGTTGGTGGAGCCGATGTTCGTAACTCCTAGCGAATTTGATGATAGTCTGGTCAACAGTGTCCATCTGAAGGTCTCGATGAAGGTCGCTGTTTCTAATGTACCAAGGAGCATCGACAATGTTCTTTAATACTTTATTCTAGAATCTCCGGATTATTAGAATATTACTGTAGCTGGCACAACCCCAGAGCTGGTTGCCATAGGTTAAAATTGGTTTGAGAAACTTTTTTATATAATAGAATTTTGTTATATGTAGATAGGCTGGAATGCCTACCAACTAACCAGTACATTTTCTTGAATTTTATATCTAACTCTTGTCTTTTTTTTTTAACATGGACCTTCCAGCGAAGTATTGCATCTAATGTAATACCTAGATATTTTGCTGAGTTGGCATAAGGGACCTGAGCATTATTTTTGTTAAGTGGTATTCTTTGACTATTTTTGTTAGTAAAATTAAGATTAACAGATTTGGTTTCATTTAGTTCAATGCGCCATCTTTTGGTCCAAATATTGATTTGATTAACTGATGTTTGTAGTTTATTTGCAGCCTCTTTATGATTTTTGCCTATCCTAGGATGGCAGTATCATCTGCAAATGTAGCTATTGTGTCTTGTCCTAGTTGGGGTATGTCACAAGTGTATAACAGATGCAAAGTGGGTCCCAGGACGCTTCCCTGTGGTACTCCTGCTTTAATTTCTTTCAATTCAGAGTATGCTTCATCTTGTTTTACTCTAAAGAATCTATCTGAAATGTATGAATCCAATAGCTCTGAGTATGGCTGCGGAAGTAGCACATTCAATTTATGTTTTAAGCCATCATGCCATACTTTATCAAAACCCTGCGCAACATCTCGGATAATGGCTGAGCAAACTTCTTTGTTTTCTAATGCTTTTTCAATCGCATTTGAGATTCCATGAACCTGATCTATAGTTGAATGGTTTTCTCTAAAGCCGAACTGGTAATCTGGAATTAGTTTCCTTTCTTCAATGATGAATTTCAGTCTTTTTATTAGTATTTTTTCAAATAGTTTCGATATTGTAGGCAATAGAGATATTGACCTATATGACGAAACTTCGTTCGAAGGTTTTCCTGGTTTGGGGATCATAATGACTTCAGCTACTTTCCACAATCTAGGGACATACCTTAGTTTGAATGAGGCATTAAACAGGTGTGTACGTTTAATTATTTCTTTCTTCGGAAGTTGTTTTAAGATTTCTCCTGTTATTAAATCAAAGCCAGGAGCTTTCTTAGGATTAATATTTGTTTTTATATCTTCTGCAATTTCCTTTGGAGAGGTTGGTCTGATAATTGAGTCATCTCTTTCTAGAGGAGCTCAGTTCGGTAATTTCTCGTCATTTGGTTGGAAGGTATTTTGTAAGTGCTCTGCAAATCTATTAACTTTTTGTATATTATTTCTAGCCCAGCTGCCATCTGTATTTCTGATTGGAGCATTCTGCACAGTGGGCCTTTTTAATCGCTTTGTGGCTTTTCATAGGGAATAATCAGTGGATTTATCGTTTGTCAACTCACTAAGGTACTAACAGATTCATTTTTGATTCGTTTTATCTCTCTTTTTAACTGCTGGGTTGCGTTGTTAAGTTTGGTTTTATCTGATGGAGCTCTGGTCTGATGCCATTTCCTCCTTAGTTTTCCTTTTCCAGAGATTAGGTCCCTTATTTCTTTAGGATAGTTATTTCCTGTTGTTCGCTGCACAATAGGTGGCGTATTATCCCATGCTGCTTGTTGTATGTTGAATACAAGTAGTTTTACTTCTTCATCTAGCTGTGCTTTTGTTCTTAACGGAACTGAAAGATTGATTTTATTTTCAAGGTTCAGTCTGAAGCTTTGCCAGTCTGGTCTCCTATTTATTAGTCTAGGAGCGCTTTCTTATTGGATAATCGTGTCACTAAGAGGGCGAATGATCTGAATTCCTGGCCCTTGCCTCATCAACTTAAATGTAGTTTGCTAAAGTATTTCGTACAACAAAAAAAGTTTAATAAGTCGGGTATTTTGTTTCAATCTGTGGGCCAATAAATTGGTTTACCAGTTGAATGTGACTCACATTTTAACTGTCTCATTGCTTCGTTTAGGTTTTTACCCTTATTATTTGTTAGTCTGAAGCCCCAATGGGTGTGTTTTGCATTAAAGTCGCCTCCAATGATAAATCTAGGTTCTTGACTATTGAGGCAATCTATGTATTGTTCTTTTTTAACGGTATATCTTGGAGGACAATATACAGAAGTGACCATAACATCAACATTTTTAGATTTTATCATTACTGAAGTAGCCTGAAATTCTTCAGTCCTGTATCCCGCTTCTTGATGATGCTTAATTGCTTCCCTAATTATTACTGCGCTACATCCTCTTGCTGCATTTCGGGGATAAACCTTATATTTCTTAAATTTAACAAAGGACTCATTGGTAAAGTGGGTCTCTGAAATTAAGCATATGTCTATGCTTTCTATATCTAGGATGGCTTGCAATTCTTGTTGGTGCTGCAGCATTCCATTCCATTATTATTAGGCTATTACTCATTATATTGTCTCTTAGGTATAGCTCCTTTGCTACTATATTCTAACCTAGTAATTCGTTCATCCATTTTGTTCGGCTTTTCCAGTATTTGGTAGAAAGTATTGATAATGGATGAATCTTGATTGTTATCTATTTCTTCTGGCTGAATAATCCAGATTTTTCTATTAAATTGTTTCTATTAACAGGCTTATGTTGGATTACTCGCTGTGGCTGTTTAGGTAAGTTTGGTTTTTTTTGCTGTGCTATTATTTGTGATTTTTTGCATTTCCTGGTTACTTCACATCTGCTGTAGCTAGCAGGATGTACTTTGCCGCAGTGAACGCATTTAGGTATAGCATCTTTCGGTTTTGCACAATTTACAGTTAAATGTTTCCCTGTGCATCTTACGCATCGAGGCTCTTTAGCACAGTACCTTTGAGTGTGTCCGAATGCTTGACACTTTTTTCATTGAGGTACTAGCTTGAATTTTCTGAGAGGTACAATTTCTACATAATATACTCCCATAATTTCTCTGAATCCATAATTATTTTCTCAACACTTTCGTCGTGTTGGAATGTAAGCATAAACATATTCAATGGTTGTGTAGTTTAATATTTTAGTTTTGGAATAGCAGAAATAATGTTAAAGCCACGACATTTCAAATCACTAATTATATTTTCTGGTTCTCAAGAATGGTGTAGTGTATATGCCATTACTTTAATTGGTCTCTTCTGTTTATCCTCATAGGAGTACTAAGTGTACTCTTGTTCTGTTAATGCACCAGAAAGCATTATATATTCTGGTCCTTCCGGAACGTTAATTTTAACATTATTATCGTTGATGACTTTAATTTGGGAGTTTGGGATTTGTCTTGCCATACTATGGTTTATTAAAGTTTTGGACGTTATCCACTATAATAGGTGGTGGTGCCTTGATTTTTACAGGTTTTTCTATTGTAGTGCTGTTATTTTGTTGTTGGGGCTGTGGTTGCAGAGGTGTCAATGAAGTATCCATTTTTGTTTTTTTTTCTGTTTTTCACGCGGATCCATGCATTCTATTTTGCCAGATCTTCTTCGTCAGTAAAGTATTCAATGGGCTTAGTTGCATTGTTTATATTGCTAGCCATATTTTCTTCTATTCCTGTATATTTTTTGATTAATTTATCATTTGTTTTCATGATTTTTATCATTTTGGATTTGGAGCAACTGCACCTTATCAGCAAGATTATTCCTCTCCAATTCCTTTTGTTTTAGAGCATTGTAAATTGCTTCTTCATTTTGTGACCTTGTGGCACTATTTTCTTGGGAAAGTTCCATTTTATTTCTATCAATATCAATTGTATTTAAAAATATTTTTATCGACGATT